CTATCAAAATCCCTCAATAAAATGTGATGAACCAAAACATGACATGTGTTGCGAAATCAGTTTCACCCCGGTTCGTTTTATTCCTCGAAACTTCCAGAGACGGCACCGGAACTCAGTAGTTATTTCACAAAACCTTTATTCATCTTCATTTAAGCATGCACTTCTAGAAGGGAAGACGAGGCCGATGTCCCTCTGCAAAATCTTCACCCCTTTGTTAGTTACAGCCAGCTTTATAGAGGCGACCCTATCATAAAACCCCCATGGTGTGCTCCAAACTCTGTGTCTGTGTGTATGCACGAGCACATGAGTGCCTGTGTGTGCGCGTACCCGTATGCCTATGTGAGCGCACGTGAGTGAATGTATGTGCGTACCTGTATGTATGTGTGAGTGCACGTGAGTGACTGTGTACGCGTGTGGGTGCGTAACAGTTAAAGCACTGTGGGTGTGTGTGTCTCTATGTACGTGACTCCCTGCCGGTCATAAAAGTCCATCTCCCTTCCAGACCACAGTTATCCAGTTACAAATGTTGAGACCCCCACCCAGGTATCCTCTGGGGAATTTCCACTCAGCATTAACTCCTCTTTGTCTTACTTTCACAGTTCAACTGGGGGAGGGTCTCCTAAAATCTACTCCTAAGTTCATGACACAGTCAGGCCTTTATTTATATCCAGGGCAGTGTCACTGTCTCACAATTCTATATCCTATCTAACACATTCCTAAACTCTAAAATAAGCTAAACATTCCTACACATGCTAGATAATCAATCTACCTACCCTACAAAATGCGCACAAGTTGCTGTAAAACTTGCATGCTATAACTACTCCAATCACTTTTACTCATGCTCAGAACTCTAACAGAGTTTGATGTTCGGAGAGTCATGTAAATGCATGTCATTTATAAAATATAACGTCATACCAACGACCACCTTAACTTAAAAACACACTAAGCTTTCCAGGGAAACTGATTGGCTGTTTAAGCAGGTGTTATCTGCATTCATTCGCTGATCCCTGTTAGGTGCCACAGAGTCTCACTCTTCAGTCGCTGAGTTGGAGCTTGGCACTCCCTTGTTGGAGGAGGGCACTCTTTTCACCCCTCACCCTCTCGTTCCAACGCAGCTTTATGGTTATTGCTGTGGTTCTGGAATCTTCTCATGATGACTAGTAGGGCCCCAAACCGCACGACCTTTGACCTCAACCACTGCCTGGGCTGTCAGCTCTGCTATGAATGGTCCCTGCTTCTTGCTGGGTCTCTGAAGACTTCTGATCAGCACCCAGTCTCAGTCAGGAGATTCCACCCTTGGGATGATTTCTTCCAGCAATACTCTGGCTGCTGCACCTGTATCTCTTTACTAGGAGGAAAAACTTCTAACCATTTGGAAAACATGTCAACCATCATCAAACCACATTTTCCTTTCAGTTCAGTGAAGTTTACTTATAGATCATCAAAGCCTTATCTGAACATGGACTTAACCCCCCTGTAGAGGTTTAATACCTGTACATGAACTGTTAATCCCACAAATCACAGTAAAAAGCCATGGACAACATCAGGGCTTCTCCTCCGGAGTAATTTCACTTCAGCCCTGTAACCCTGTGTTAAAGAATAAAATCAGCATTAATGTCATGTTAAGTGGGCTCTAACTCTTGGCTCTTCCTGGAGCCTGCATCCACACCGCAGTTACCTAGAAACCAAAATCGGTGAGTAAATACAAACTTCACACTTACAAACAACTGTAGGGTCATAAGAGTAATAAGGCATCCAACACCACTTACAAAAGTGCGCCATATGCAGTTTATTTCCCCCAAATCATTAAAACACTACTGTTACCATAATTTGCCCAAATCATGGATCATCCCATGTGTTTAATTAAAACTACTGTAACCAGTAACTTTTCTTAAGTAATGTCACTCACTTGTTTTCACACTTTGAACTCAACACCTTAAAATGAATAAAGATATGATAATGAGCCCCACACTAAGATGTTCTGTAATCACTGCACAACCTGCTTCATTTCACTCATGTCTGCCTGTGTGATGCCAGAACCCTTAGAGAGGAAAAAAAAAAACATTAGCCAGTGGTGTGTCCTCGCAGGTCGGGCCTGGATCAACAGATTCCAGAGGTGTTGCTGTAAATCATGTGGTCAACCCTCCTAGTCTGTGAAAGGAGTGATACTGATTTTAACACAGTATGTGTTTCACATTGAATACACATTTTCCCCCTGTAACATTTAACATTTGATTGATTGATAATACTTTATTTATCCCGAGGGAAATTGGGTTAAGGCTGCCAGCCGTGCCAGCGCCATCTTACCCTTCCGACCATACATACATTACACAAAACATCACATGGGGAAGACAGGTCAGAGAGGTATAACAATGGAAATTGCACCACATGAGGAAAGATAAGGAGAAAAAAATAACTCTCCCCAGACTGAGCTCCAACATTGAGATCAGTTTGAGAACTGGACAAAAAACACCTCTGCACATAGCACATGAAAAAACTCTTAATACACCAAAGAAACGCATGACAAGCAGCAGGGGTGGGTAAAGGGTGCAGCATCGGAAGGGAATAAGCATAGAAGGCGTTTGGAAAGGTAGGGGTGTGTGTGTGTGTGTGTGTGCGCGCGCGCGCGCTAGTAGGCAGGTTTAATGGCTGTGTGTGCAGTGGAGCTGCAGATTCAGTAGAGCATGTCCTTAAACCTGCCTTTCCTTCACATTTCTCTGTTTATGTGTGACATATTTAATATCATTTTCATCACTACTTATTAACACTTTCCCTCTCTTATTCTTCAATCCACATTTTAACACATCTCTTTCCATCACTCTTGGTTATACACACACACACTTCTCTTTACTGCATTCCTCAGTTTCTACACACTTTATACTGCATGTATTCTTTCCCATATTTCTGAAAGGGAAAAGAAAATCATGCAACCAAAACCTGGATTTGATCCTGCACTTACCACTGCAACAAGAATACCCACTTGAATATCCAAACTGAGTTTCTAGGAACCTGCACCCAATAATTGCAGCTGTAAGGAAGCGAGGATTTCCCCGTCGGTCCGATAGAAAAATCCTCCCAAATCAAAACAGCTCACCGTTGCAGATCCTTTGCAGTGCCTCTCTTGGTTCTTTTAAAAATTCCTGCATGTGTGATTCGGTGAAGCATACCCCCCGGTTCTCCCTTTTTGAAAACAACGGTGGGACTGAGGCAATTTTACCTCAGGATGGCCAGTCACCGCGTGCCCGTGATTCAGCGAAACTCACCGGAGGAATCCTGCCCGACAACGCCAAATTGTTGTGGAAAATTGAACAATAACCTGCAACACACCCAGCGAGCTTGATTTGAAGTGGGTTTGATAAACACATTGCAATGTGGAGAGAGCATCCCAGTGAAACACTAGGACCATCTCTGAATTGTGGCCACCGTCCTTACATCTTATATACAGAGACGCAGACAAAGAACATTCCACAAACTCACACGTTGGCCCCTCTCACGGGGGAGCTATACCTTCTCCCTCACAGAGAGAATTATGACCTTGTTTTCTGCTTGGCCGTCACCTAAGGATTTACATCCCTGATACGCAGAAGGAGTCCCACTATCTGTTTAATGTCTCCCATTACAATGGCCTCACTGTGTTAACGTTCCACATGCATGTAAACTAGTGACAGGAGTGCTCTTACTATAGTAAAGTGATATTACTATAACTAATGTGATATGATTAAATCTGTGATTAATAGATGAGAAAATAAATCTGCCACCACACGGTCTAGGTGCATCTGGTTCAGATATAGCGCTTTCTCAATGAAAGAAGCCAAGTTTTTTTCAAAGGTTATTAGGTGTGCCAGTGGCAGTTTATTTGGTCTGAGGTCTGTTTACACCCTGAGTAAGGCTCAAGTTGTCTTCCTGAAAGCGCTGTAACTGAGTTCAAGGATGCAATTCCACGGTTATCTCCTTCGATGTCATGTGCCAGCACAATGCAGAGCACTGTTTACGAACCTGGATACAGGTTAAAGTAAAAAAAAAAAATAGTGACGGTTTATTTCAGCATGTTGGCATCACAAGTGAATAATCTGATAACAAAAATATCATCACAGCCAAATCAACATACCTACCCAGTGTACTTTACCACTCAGGCTTTGAGCCATCAGGCAAGTGTTTATGTTAAACCCTGCCCAATAAATGCCCCTGACATAGACTTAACTCCAACTCTGACCTTCAAACTGGCTTTTGAAAGAGTATAAAATATTAGGGTCAGCTAAAAACTTGTAAGTTTGGAAGATTTATTGTACATCATGGGTCTAAATAAATTCTGACACCAAATATGCTGACAAGAGAACTTTTTGTTTATGTGTATTTTATCTTTAGCTTATAGTGCCAGTTGACGTCAGTCACACATGTAGCCTAGACAAGCAGTTCGTGAAAAAGCGGGAACAAGGTCATAACTGTTCTTATTTCAAAACAATATTTTTACATATTTATAATATTTATACATAAACATTAAGTGAATAGGGAGTCATATAACAAGGGTTACCGTGTCCACAAACGGGTTATCATAGATACAGTATGTAAAGTAATCATATTTATACTCTTATTAAATAGACTTCTTCACTGATGAATTAAAAATTCTGAGCAAATTACATGATTTTGAAATCGTGACATTCTGAAGAATGAGTGCTGCTCTTTTTTATGTTTTTTGCTAAAGCACAGGATTTTGATTGCACTGTAACAATGTCTATATTTTAGATTGCATCGCAACTTTTGCAGAAGTCAAGACTCTAAATACTCCTTCAGCCACAAATCCATTAGCTAAAAGTTGAAATTCAGTAAAACCTTTATCTGTCTCATTTATTAAATCTAATTATTTCCTCTGGTATCGCTATTCCTAAAAAGGCACTTTTTTCTGCCTGGAAATGATCGTAAATTGCTGGTTCCTTTGAGGTCTGTGAGGAATGAGAAAACCTGTCCAGCCGTAGATTTTTTTTGTGTCTTATCTACAATAGGCTCAGCCCCCTATGCCATGAGGAGGCTTAGACTGGCTATGAGACAAACAGAAAACAAAACAGTCAGGCAGAGACGATAGGAACGCAGTCCTGGAAAGGATTCAGAAAGGTACCAGAATACCCACACTGCCACCAGCTAAGCAGGTAATTAGTGTTTGACTTTGATTTTCATTGCTTAAACCTATCGCAGTTAGCAAAAGCTTCTGTCTATATTTGCTGCAGCTGTTGACTGTAAATTAAACTAAGCTGGTCTCTGATAAAGCAAGCGTGTGTTTTAGTTTGGCACTTACTGGTGACTAAGATTTAAAACAAAGTAAAAGTGTAAAAGTTTACAAATAATTGTCACTGTATCACTTTTTAATCTACACAGAAAGGTCACTCAGATCAGGTTTTACTGCTGCATTATCACATCTATATTATGCCAAAATGCCTTTATATGGATTTTATAAAATTATTTTTAATAGCTTTCATGACAGTTTGTAACAAGTTTTTGTAACAAGGTGAAGGTAATGCTTTACATGTTTACTGTTCCCAATGCTTTTCCTTGAACGCAATGTTGGAGAATAATTAGATATATCCTTATGAAATAACTACTTCCCACCTAACCAGTACTCTAGATCAGTTAGGTGTTTTTCAGTTGCCAAGGCTTTTTGTAAATTATACGGTGTGCACTCTGTTTTCTTTTTTTGTTGCCTCTATGATGGTGTGATAAAGAGAGGGAAATCAAACAGGCAGACTTTACTGTTAAAACTTCCCCTGAAATAAAACAAGATTTTAGAGCTGTGAACTTTGTTCAAAGATGTACCTCTTAATGACTCCTTTTATTAATAAATGCAAATTGTGTTATTTTTGTTCTAGCTGTTACTGTGAGTAGGCTCTAATGTGATAGGTGAGTGAAT